TTAAACTTCAAGAGGTCTGTAGTTTTCTTTGTGTTTATATCTTCGTCTTTATAAATATAAATATGTTGTGTAAACATCTAAACTTCTTTGCCTTCGTTGAGAGATAGGGCTTAAGTAAACCTAATTTTCATAAAATATTTATGGTATAACAAAAGTCGGTAAAACTAATTTTCTGCAAAATTTATTATAGTACATACTAGATTTTTTTCCACTAATACATTTTAAATTAAAAAAGTACTTATTTTCAATTTCCCTGCATTTGGAATTGAGTCTTTGCCACTAACTCTGATTTTCTAATCTCTATATATCTACTTAACCTAATGTCGTGGACCTTATATATTTCAAACTATGATTTCTGTTATATCAAATAATCTAAGTTTGAAATATCAAAAGTTCACACAATCAGGTTGCAAAGATATAGGGACATATATGTGACAAAGACTCAATTCCTTTAGTAAAATATCGTAAAAGCATATTTATAAAATTTGTAATATTCCACGCTGAACTAAAGTAAATTCAACGTTATATTGAAATCTTTATAAAAACAGAGCTCCTCTTATTAAAGAGCTATTGAGAAGTAAAAACGTGTTTTAAATGTCCTATGAAACAGGATACATATATTTTTCACATACTTCTGCGTGTAATCAAAACAAGAGAAGCAACGAGGTCACAAAGGCATACTAGTAATGTCTTAAAAATTTGAGTTACTCCTTCTATGTAGTTCAGCGGGATTCGAAATACATATTTTCTGTGTTTAAAATCATGCTAAAGTATTTTGGATTATATAACTGCATAAAACGACCGAGAGGGTTTTTGGAAGGGTTCACTGACATTCAGGGGTCATTATGGAGGGAGAGGGAGAGGGGAGGGAGGGGGGCATACCCTTGCATCTAGATTATATCTTTTTATGCTTCTAGCAACTAAACCGTAGAAGATTTTTATCTTGTTTCTTTGATAACATATATCATTTCTGCATTTCAACTTTACAAAAGAAAATTGTATTTTCTTATCTTGTCCTATATTTCACTCGATATTGTCCTACTTTACACTTCATTGTCCTACCTTACTTTACTCTACATTGTCCTACTTTACTCTACATTGTCCTACTTTACTCTACATTGTCCTACTATACTCTACATTATCCTACGTTACTCTAAATTGTCCTATTTTACTTCACATTGTCCAAGTTTACATTACATTGTCCTACCTTACTCTACGTTGTCCTACTTTACTCTACATTGTCTTACTTTACTCTAAATTGTCCTACTTTACTCTCCATTGTCCTCCTGTACTCTAAATTATCCTACTTTACTCTACATTATCCTACTTTACTCTGCAATGTCCTACCTTACTCTACTTTGTCCTACTTTACTGTTTAATTTCCTACTTTACTCTACAATGTCCTACTTTACACTACATTGTCCTTCCTTTCTCTACATTGTCCTACGTTATTCTATAAATTCCTACTTTACTCTACAATTTCCTACTCTACATTGTCCTACTTTATTCTTCATTGTCCTACTTTACTCTACATTGTCCGATTTTAGTCTGAATTGTCCTACTTCACTATACACTGTCCTACTTTACTCTACATCGTCCGATTTTAGTCTAAATTGTCCTACTTCACTATACACTGTCCTACTTTACTCTTCATTGTCCGATTTTAGTCTAAATTGTCCTACTTCACTATACACTGTCCTACTTTACTCTACATTGTCCGATTTTAGTCTAAATTGTCCTACTTCACTATACACTGTCCTACTTTACTCTACATTGTCCGATTTTAGTCTAAATTGTCCTACTTCACTATACACTGTCCTACTTTACTCTACATTGTCCAATTTTAGTCTAAATTGTCCTACTTCACAATACACTGTCCTACTTTACTCTATATTGTCCTACCTTACTCTACATTGTCCTAATTTACTCTACATTGTCCAAGTTAACTCTACATTGTCCTACTTTACTCTACATTGTCTTACCTTACTCTACATTGCCCTACTTTACTCTCCATTGTCCTAAATTGTCCTACTTTTCTCTACACTGTCCTACTTTACTCTACATTGTCCTATCTTACTCTACATTGTCCTACTTTACTCTACATTTTCAAAGTTTACTCTCCATTGTCCTACTTTACCCTATATTGTCCTACTTTACTCTACATTGTCCTACTTTACTCTACATTGTCCAAGTTTACTCTCCATTGTCTTACTTTACTCTATATTGTCCTACTTTACTTTCCATTGTCCTACTTTACTCTACAATTTCCTACTTTACTCTACATTGTCCTACCGTACTCTCATTGTCCTACTTTACTCTATATTGTCATTTTCTACTCTGCACATATCGTCCTATCCAAAGACGGTAGAATAGCTCTTAGGTCCTATCCTACTTTATTTAGCTCTTTAACCTTGATCTCTATATAAAGTTGCTTGGACTACTTACTCTATTTTTTCCTACTCTACTTAAACTTGTCCTGCTCTTATCCTACTTTTCTACATCTTGTCCTACTCTCCTAAATTTTGTCCTATTCTTTTAAATCTTATTCTACTCTTCTGAATCTAGTCCTAATTCTAATTTTTCCTACACTTCTTCATTCTAAATCTTGTCCTTCCCTCATAAATTGTGTCCTACTTTCCTAAATGTTGTCCTAATTTCCTAAATGTTGTCCTACTCTCCTAAATCTTGTCCTACTCTCTTTAATCTTGTTGTACACTACTCTTTATGGATATAAAATCTTTTCCTATATTCTAATCTATTTCGTCTTTTTCTGAATTTACTTTTTTTGCTTTTCTTCTTTTTTATTTGCCTTTTTATTGTTATATTTCTGTTCTGTTTTGCTTTTCACTCATGCAATAAAAAATATTATAGAAAACTTGGAAACAACGTTTACATTCGCATAAACATAAAAACAAAACAATAGAAATTTCAATTGAGTTTGAATTTTTTTCTAGTTTGAAAAATACATCGCCGACTTTAAATTGCTCAGTATTTTGCGCAGACTTTCTTTTTCATAAACGTTTAAAAGTTTTAATAGTTGTGCTGAAATTATCATAATAAAATGAGTGGACTTCAGACCTTACCGCCCCCCCCCCTTCCTTTGCTCTTAGCAAAATTTTGAAAAAAGTAATACGGTGTTGAAACATGATAATCTTATTCCTTGAATTCATGATTTAAAATTATTTTTGTATTGGCAAGGAGGAGAGGAGGGGGAGGGGGGTGTAGCTGTGATTTCTTGCCATACAAATATTGCAATCAATATTTCTACAATCTTTTGTTTTGAATTTCTGTTTATGCAAAGTGAAACTTTGCAACCATCTTGGATTTGATATTTGCAGTTTTCTTCTTGCATGTCTTTTCTGGTGTAAATACATTTAGAAACTGTACACAACTTTTACAGGCTTTTCTTCACCACAAAACAAGTGAAAATGTATCAAAAAGACGTTTTAAACACTTTATTTCGGTCAAAAAAGTTATGCAAAAACGTAAGAATAAAAAGAATTGATATTACCAATTACTGAACTGAAAACCTTTGAATGGGATATCCTTAATCCCGATCGGTTATTTAATCTGGAGATGAATAACAAGAGAGCAAGCTTTTTTAAATCTTAAGATTAAGAAAAAGAGAGGATCAAGCATTAATCCCGATATCCACCATTCAAAAGTTCCCAGCTCTGAATAGCCATAAAGCAGGAGTAAATTTTAGAAATTTTAAATTAAAAAAATCAAAAAAGGGTAGTTGTCAATCTTTTTAATACGTTCTCATTTGCGCTCTTTAAATCTCAAAAGCTGAGTCGGTTTTTAAATGGCCCAATACACAAAGGATTTAAACTTTTATTGTGAACACAAGTTACATCGGCCATTTCCTATCAGCAAAAAAAGTAAACAAAGTACATTGTGCAGTGTTACTGTACAGTGTACTGTACAGTGTACTGTACAGTGTACTGTACAGTGTACTGTACAGTGTAATTTACAGTGTACTGTACAGTGTAATGTACAGTGTATAGTAAAGTATAACAATGTGTTTAATTATTTATGTAATGCAAGTTTTATCAGCAGAGGTTTACAATTTCAAACAAGGATTAAATTATGTCGGAGCCATGACTCATATTCACATGTCTATATTTTCCACTATTTTCTAATTTTGTCTTTTAAATTTAAAATCTGCTATATTTGTATTCTTATATTCTTGTATTCTTGTATTCTTGTATTTTATAACTTAATATATTTTGTTGAATGATTAGCCCCGAGTGTATATATGCATATAATGATAGTGTGAATGTTACGGGGAACTCAGCCCTGGGTTTTCCAATGTTGATATATTTGCATTTTGGTTTGTAACCAAGGTTGGGGGGGGGGGGCAAATTGTGTACTTAATTTGCACTACCATAAATTTAGTTTTTAGAAAACTCAAAGCCAATAAAGAATACGTGACACCCTATTTTTTTTCTCTTTATACATCAGCGTATTCACGCAATAATAAAAGCATTTTATTGCTATTTTTTAACAATTCGAGATTAAAAGGTACAAACTAAATTAATGTAAAGATATATTAAGAAGGCTAAAATTATATTTCTACAAGATACACATTAAGAATTCTTTTGATACTGTGATTACAGGAAGTTTGTTGGATGATATTTTAACAAACTATATTTTTCTTAAATATTGTGTCTTTGACCGAATTTTTTGTTTTGTTAAAAAACAATTTTTTTTAACTTCTCAGTTTAAAGATTTATTCCATTTGATCAAAAACCGTTAAATTTTTCCATAGAAAAATATGCTTTTTCTTATTTTTCATTAGTATCTACTGCGTATAAATCTTATTAGAGAAAAATAGTGTATGTTAAGCAAGATATATTTAATTGGTATTTTGTATTCATTCTTTGTTTGAGATAAAACACAAAACCTAACTTTCTTTTTTTCATTCCGGACCAAAACTGATTAATTTGGAGCAGGCGTTATATTATTCTTAATCAAATCTGAAAACATATTTATTTCAGAAACATGAGCTCTAGAAACGCATTTCATGGATTGAAAACAGATGATTCCCGGTGACACGAAGCGTCCAAGATTTATGTTCTGATTTGATCAGAAGAACAATAGCATTTAATAGTCTGGTAGATACCAGATTCCGGTGAAATATGACAATATCCTACACCAGAGAGGTTAGTTAAAATCATGGGACAGTAGATGCGTGTAATTTCAAGAAATATTTTATTTCTGCCATGTCCAATTCACAACGCGCGGTACCCTTTTGTCTAAACTATATTACGAGAGCTTACTTAAAATAACGAATACAGTCTCTTTAAACTTTTAAAATAGATTTTAAGAAGAAATCAAGGAATACGAATAGACAGAATTAAGAATGTGTACTATAGTTTCTGCACGGTGGACTTGGGTCAATTTAAATTCGAACAAGCCTTGTACCGGTCTTATGTAAAGTGCGACTGGCCTGACCCTATCCTATGAAGGACCGGTTTCAACTTTGATGGCACGGCCAGACTTTGTACAGGACCCAGCCAATCATAGGCATATTTAACCTACCCCACTAGCTTAGTTGAGTGTGTCAGGGAGGAATGTAAACACAGTTTAGCCTCGATAGTACAGATTGTGTATAATGTTTACATTCCTTCCAAACACTGCAGTACATATTTAACCTACCCCACTAGCTTAGTTGAGTGTGTCAGAGCCAAAAAATTAAGACAGGGTATCGTTATAAAAACCAGTTCTAAAACCCGGGTTTTATGAACGGAGTTAGGCAGTTTTGTGAAAATAAATATTTTTGTTATGAAATATCATATAATTCAGTTTGTTTATATTCTCCATTTTTTTCGAAGCTCTTAAAACAAAATCTACACAAATGTTAAGTCGCCAAAAAGGAAACTCGGGAGTTTCGTTTAACGATACTCTTTTAAATTTCAGGCTCAGGGAGGAATGTAAACATAGTTTAACCTCGATAGTACAGATTGTGTATGATGTTTACATTCCTCCCAAACACTGCAGTACATATTTAACCTACCCCACTAGCTTAGTTGAGTGTGTCAGGGAGGAATGTAAGCATAGTTTAACCTCGATAGTACAGATTGTGTATAGTGTTTACATTCCTCCCAAACACTGCAGTACATATTATTTGATATGAGTTCGTGATAAGTTCTTTGGATAAAATGCCATGTTTAATGAAAAAATTGGAAGAATGTAAGGAAAGGGGGATGTAAGGATAACATGTAGCATTGTTACGATTACATACAAGCATTAAAGAATGACGTTTAGGAATGTAAGGATGACAACTAGGAATGTAAGAATGACAAGTAGAAATGTAAGAATGACAAATAGGAATGTAAGAATGACAAGTAGGAATGTAAGAATGACATGTAGGAATGTAAGAATGACAAGTAGGAATGTAAGAATGACAAGTAGGAATGTAAGAATGAAAAGTAGGAATGTAAGAATGACAAATAGGAATGTAAGAATGACGTTTAGGAATGTAAGAATGACAAATAGGAATGTAAGAATGACAAGTAGGAATGTAAGAATGACATGTAGGAATGTAAGAATGACAAGTAGGAATGTAAGAATGACAAGTAGGAATGTAAGAATGCCAAGTAGGAATGAAAGAATGACAAATAGGAATGTAAGAATGACAAATAGGAATGTAAGAATGACAATTAGGAATGTAAGAATGACAAGTAGGAATGTAAGAATGAAAAGTAGGAATGTAAGAATGAAAAGTAGGAATGTAAGAATGACAAATAGGAATGTAAGAATGACAAGTAGGAATGTAAAAATGACAAAAAGGAATGTAAGAATGCCAAGTAGGAATGTAATAATGCCAAGTAGGAATGTAAGAATGCCAAGTAGGAATGTAAGAATGCCAAGTAGGAATGTAAGAATGACAAATAGGAATGTAAGAATGCCAAGTAAGAATGTAAAGATGGCATTATTGAATGATGACAAATAGGAAGGAAATGATAAAAGAATGAAACGAAATCAAAAATATGTTAAATCATTGTGTTATATCTGTTCAATGCAGTTATTGCATGCATGTAAATATTCCTTTATGAATAATTGACCAGATTTCAGTTAGATTAGTTACTAGGGATTGATTTAATAAACTAATTAATAAATATAATTCTATCTGTAAGTAATTCATTGATTGATTAATTATGGCTATCTTTAATGAATGAATTAATTAAGGTAGCTACCTTCGATGATTACACTCATTAAGGTAGCTACCTCCATCTACCACCAATGAATATATTAATTTAGCAGCTCATCATAATTATAGTAATCAAGGTAGCTACCCCCAGGGGCGGACACAGGATTTAAGTGAGGGGGGGGCAAGATTTTTTAGGAACAAAAAAATTGATAATTAGGAACAAAATTAAAGGATTAGGACAGGGATTTAGGAACAATAAAAAGATTGTCCAGGAATTAGGAACAAAATTAAAGGATTAGGACAGGGATTTANGTAAGGTAGCTACCTCCAATGAATATATTAATTAAGCAGCTAATTCATAAATATACTATTAAGGTAGCTACCTCCAATGAATATATTAATTAAGCAGCTAATTCATATATTTTCTATCTAGGTGGCTACCTCCAATGAATATATTAATTAAGCAGCTAATTCATAAATATACTATTTAGGTAGCTACCTGCACTGGTTTAGGAGCATTCTGGAAACTTCTCTTCAAATGGAAGGGAAGCGTTTATAAGGTAATTTAGTACAGATAGATACAGCTGGATGGACAGTTTGTTAATTCAGACAGACAGAGACAGCTTTAAGGACAGTTTGTCAAATAAAACAGACAACAACAGCTAGAAGGACAGGAATTCTGGAATTCTGGCTTGGATGAGTTTATCCCTGAGATTAGGAGGTCTCCTATAGGTAACCATAGGCGGATTTTGAAAAACCTCCTTCATCCAAGGATCCTGGACCATGGTTCTCCAATGTTTCTGTATGATGGAGGAGATACAAGGCAGCTGGGGATTAAATGAGATAGAGAATATAACTCGATCTGGTTTATCCTTTTTATCCACTTTCTTTAAAGCAACTTCTCTAGGTATAGCTTTAGATCGGACTATAGCAGAGTCGACAATTGAAGAATTGTACTCCCTGCTGTGAAGAAAATCCCTTAGTTTTAAGAATTGTGCATCCCTAAGTTCTGGTTTGCTGCAAATTCGTACAATTCTGTATGCAAGTGAATAAGGTATGTTGTTAGAAATATGTGCTGGGTGGCAAGATGATGGAAGCAGGTACACACATCTATCTGTGGGTTTTCTGTAGAGATCTGTTGTGATTTTTCCATCTTCAATGTACAGTTTTGTGTCAAGGAATGGAATACTTTTTGTCTGTGGCACCAACAGTCATGTTCATTCTTTAAACCACAATAAAATGGAGAACTATGTTCTAGAGTAAACTTGATTGTAGGATGAATTTTATTGATATCATACAGGAATTGATATAATTTCTCAATTTCTCTTTAGTGTCCCATGGTATGTCAATGTTCTTTTATGTTTGTTATAATTCAGTTAGAATTGTCTTCTGCCTTTTAAAGTATCATTAATATTTTTCAATATTTCTGTTTCCAAAAACTATTAATGCAATTTATTGCGTAAAATGTATGTTAAATTCTAAATCTAAACTTTTTGTTGAGTAACTGAATTAATCGTCCATTTTCTGGTAAAAGAAAACATTATCTAAATGTGAAATTGAATAATGTTAAAACATTTAAAATAAAGTACAAGGTTAAATTCACAGAACAGTCTAATAGTATTGATAATGATTAAGTTTGTAATATTGTTTTGTTGTTGCTTGCAACACGACATCTTCTTGCACCAATAATATTTACATCTAGGTTGCACATCCATATTTACATTTGATTTAGAAATTATTATTAACCCTATCCCGATTGCTTTCCACCCCCCCCCNCCCCCCCCCACTGATTCTGCCCTTAGAGTAGGCTTGCTCATTAAAAAAAATAGACCTCTATCTTTAGTCGACAAAAGGTCAATGAGTACGTCGGAAAAAATAAATATTTTTACTTTTGACAAATATTTACAAGTGACACATGTATTATATCCATTTTTCAAGGGCTAATTTAAAAAGTGATTAGCCATTTCTGATTTTTTTGAAACAACGACCCGCCGTTTGACTCTCCTCCACCCTACCCTAAGCATAAAAAAAATCAATATTTTTTTTCAACTTTGAAGTTGAAAAAGTGAAGAAATTTTAGCGTTCTAATGTCAGCTGTTTTTAAGTTATTTAGAAAAAAACACAATCCTGAATCGTGATAGGGTTAAAAAAAATTGAATAAATTTACTCTGAAATTATTTAATAGAAATGGTGTTGACGTTCTTAAAACGTTCTATATATTCATAAGCTAGCAAAAGTATTAATATTTTATAGAATTTACAAAACTAATTGACTTGAGATTCTTTAATAGTCTGCAAGAATCATTCATTTTTATCAATTTGCCAACGTTGAAAAATAATAGATTTTATTAGTACCGCCGAATTATTGAAATAAAATTCTAAAGATGGCGGCAAATTTTGTGCCTATTTTAGTACAGTAACTCTAATCTAGGTTTAAAAGTAGTGTTCGCGAGAAATAAAAGGGGGTATATAGGCTTACGGCGAAAAATAATCGCTTTTTAATATACCCTCTTTCATTTTTCGCGAAAACTCCCTTTAAGAAAAAGAGCAAATTTTTGCGAAATTGGTGGTACGACTATATGATCTCTTAGCTCATCTAGCTATGATTTTACATCCAATATGAGAAAACAAATTTATTTGGCTGCTATACTGCAAGTAGATCACTTATTATTCTTCTCTACAACTGTTCTTTCATTTGTTTAGCTGGTATGGTAGAACCTTCTACTGTACAGTGTACAGTGTACTGTACTTCTATTTGTTTAGCTGGTATGGCAGAACCTTCTACTGTACAGTGTACAGTTTACTGTACTTCTATTTGTTTAGCTGGTATGGCAGAACCTACTACTGTACAGTGTACAGTGTACTATTCTTTTATTTGTTTAGCTGGTATGGTAGAACCTACTACTGTACAGTGTATAGTGTACTGTACTTCTATTTGTTTAGCTGGTATGGTAGAACCTACTACTGTACAGTGTACAGTGTACTGTACTTTTATTTGTTTAGCTGGAATGGTAGAACCTACTACTGTACAATGTTCAGTGTACTGTACTTCTATTTGTTTAGCTTGTATGGTAAAACCTACTACTGTACAGTGTACAGTGTACTGTACTTCTATTTGTTTAGCTGGTATGGCAGAACCTACTACTGTACAGTGAACAGTGTAATGTACTTCTATTTGTTTAGCTGGTATGGCAGAACCTACTATTGTACAGTGAACAGTGTACTGTACTTCTATTTGTTTAGCTGGTATGGCAGAACCTACTCTTGTACATGGCGCTGTATTTCTCTTTGTCTATACTGTACAGATTTGGCCTAAATGAGCCTGGAAAGGTAATTATGTTAAATCTGAAGATTAAACAGAACTTCACTTTTTCCAAGTTTCTTGTTCGATATTGTTTTATTTGAGACACAATCATTAGAAACCAAATTTGTTTGGTCACAAAACTTGGTTAGAAGATCAACAAATTTGTTTTGTCTCAAACTTGGTTAGAGAATCAACAAATTTGTTTGGTGACAAACTTGGTTAGAAGATTACCAAATTTGTTTGGTCACAAACTAGGTTAGAAGATTACCAAATTTGTTTGGTCACAAACTAGGTTAGAAGATCACCAAATTTGTTTGGTCACAAACTAGTTTAGAAGATCAACAATTTTGTTTGGTCACAAACTTGGTTAGAAGATCACCAATTTTGTTTGGTCACAAACTTGGTTAGAAGACCAATTTTGTTTGGTCACAAACTTGGTTAGAAGTTCAACAAATTTGTCTGGTCACAAACTTGGTTAGAAGATCACCAATTTTGTTTGGTCACAAACTTGGTTAGAAGATCAACAAATTTGTTTGGTCACAAACTTGGTTAGAAGTTCAACAAATTTTTTTGGTCGCAAACTTGGTTATGAAATCACCAAAAAGAGGCTGGCAACTATGGAAATTTTTTGTAGAAATAACATAGAAATATAAAATAAATCTGTTCATATCTTTCGTTGAAAAGAAAAGTTTAAATATTAACGAAATCTAAGATATTTAAAGAATTGTCTCTCTCTCGTGAATATGAGTAAATGGAATCTGGTTTTATGAATTATATAATTTCATATATATATTTACTACGAACTTTTCAAAGATTTTGGTTTTCTCAAACATATTCTAAATTTTGATTATTTTTTTTCAGAGTAAATTTGAGCAGATCACCATGCATTGTGAAAGGAAAAACACTAAATTTGTCAAATTTTAATGAAAATGTTATGAGTGTGAAATAACAAAAATCAAAAATAGTATTAGAAAAAATTTGTATTAAAAAATTTGGATTTTTCTCAAGATTTTCTGATCTGATACCTGTCACCTTCGTTTTAGGCTTCTACGTTTCAATAATCATCACAAGGTAATCTTTGATAATTTACAAATCAAAAGTTAAAAAGGAAGAGAACACTTGCCACAAATCCTAATTTTCTAATTCCTGTACCTTGAGCCGGTAACTCTTGTATTTGGATACGCAGATTTTACAATCATTTGTTAATCTGTAGATTAAATTAATCTTTATTTGAAATCCTGCATGGGAATCGTTTCATGAAAGGAATACTAAAATGAAGAGATTAAGAATTGATCCTCAAATTGAAAGTACCCACTGTTGATATCAAATCAAGCGATTTGGTTATGAGTTTCGAACACAAAAGTTACCAGCTCTGATTAGAAATATTTATTCTCAGAAAAAAAATATATGGATTGAAAATTAAAGTTTGTGACAAGTGTAAGTAAAATTTGATCGTATATATTTATAAGTTTTTGTGGGATCTCACATGACCCCGGGGTTAGTTCATGACACCATGACATGTCAGGATACAGGAACAAAATTTAATTTGTTAAATTTTGAAAATTTCAATTTTATCATGGAAAATAAAAATAAAACTTATCTCAAACTCAAATATTCCAATCCCCATACAATTGTAGTTTCAAATATTAAGGTGTACATAAAAATAAGGTTTGCCTGTTTAAGATATTTTTTGTACGTTTTTAAACCAAATAAAATACAGCGCTCTAACTTACAACTTTCTGTCGAGATTGTTCTTCTATAATTTATTTATCAATTTTTAGAAATCTTCTATTCGATATATTCAAATGGCAAGAAAAATATTGTAAAAAGTTTTAAAATTACAAAAAATGTTAGAATTAGTTTTTTTAAATCATTGAATAACGACGACATAAAATGTAAAAAAAAGTTCTACAATAAACTACAGACGTCATGTATAGGAACGTGTTGATAAAATAAAAATTAATCTTTTCATCGAAAATAAGTAATCTTGTTCAACTATTATTTTCTATTATCTAATTATTCACAAAGATTTTCTGCAGATTTTCTAGAATTATTATTGAAAAGACGACATTTGAAGAATTTGAAGAAATCTGCGAATAAATTCAAAGAAAATATGAAATTTAATATAATAATGATAATCGATTTTAGCATTGATTTCTTTTGAGAAATATGTTTCTAACCATTTAATTAGATTGCTGTATAATTTTTACTTTATTTTTCTTTGTCGTTATTTAATAATTAAAAAAAACTAGTTCTGAAAACAAATCCACCCCCAAAGTAGGAGTTTTGAACGTTGAATTTGTGCTCAAACTCAAGATTTACAGATCTTTAAAAAGTTTAATATGTCTCAAATGAATCCGAAAGAAGTTTTCCACAACCCTGCATACTAAGTTCAACTACCTTACATAGCCGGTCACTCCCTTTAATAGATTGGGATGTTCAATTGACAATGGTACCCATAAAAGATTTGTCAGATCTTAGATTATATGAGATTAAAGGTTACCGTTGAATTAAGCATACCCCTCTTGTTAAATGATGAATCACTTATAAATAACAATAACAGTCCCTTTAATGAAGGTGGTGGGGACAGTACAAAGTGATCCCTTGGCCTGACTCCTGCTGCCTGTTTATCTCTACCTGTATACAGGGGCAAGATGACCGGTAAGCATAAAAGGTGGTCATGGGTCACCAATCCACTTATTAGCATTTAAAACAACAATTTACATTTCGCTTTTGATAACAAGCTTAAGATATTCTTAACCCTGTTAAATAACTGCTGAAATCTGGTAAGAAATAAAAAGAAATCGGACACCTCAAATCAACTGCATTTAATTCGTTATTTAAATCTGGTTCTTTAAGTTTGTAGGAACTTAGGGCTCAATCCGTGAAAAAAGAGAGAATTAATTTAAACCGTCGGATCAGTACCACAAAATATAAATATATATTTGTTTGAAATCAATATTACTATAATATTACAGCCATTTAGTATTTCTTATCATCATCTTCGGTATCAAACAACTTAACAAATTATGGAAGATGACATTTTAAACTATTCACCAACTGTCATGTATTGTCTAGTTTATGGTTCTTAGTTTATATAAAGATTGGAGCTACAATGCTTCATAATACAAAAATAACAACTTGAGAACATGGTGAGAACTATGCCAGATCACCAAAAAAAAACATAGAGAAACTATAAGAATCGAGCAATATTTTTCAATACATACAATTACAAATTACAGTGAATACTGCTCCTATTCTTTTATGCCATAAGTGAACTTTCTTCTTCTTGAAACCTTTCTAAAGAAGAAATATGCAAAAAAAAATTTTTTTTTGAAACAATCTCTTTTAAGTTTTATGACCATGGAAAATTTTTTCAACATCCCAAATTAGAAAATTGTCCCTTTTAATATCTGTTTACTTTAGTGGAAGATTGATGAGGAGAACGATAGCTAGATATTTAATCCTGGCTTTAATACAAACCTTGAGGATGACAAGTGTCCAGGTAGGAATTTAATCAAAATTCAAAAATTTTCTTTTTCCATAATGGCATCTGGGTTTAAATAAAACTTTTTACCTTTTACTTAAAGCGGAAAAGAAAAAAGATTTTTTGTGGCGCTTGGCGTGTACCATTTTTTTATGTCCCGGTTGACATCTAGCGGACATTTTTCAAACTAAAGTTTTCCTGAAGGTGAAGAAAAGGTTTCCTACACTGGACCATGTGTGTGAAGCTGGCATAGTGACAGAAAACGAGAAGAAAATTATAGAAGATGTCGAGCAAAAATGTATCCAGGTAAAACAGAGGATTTCTTCTTATTTCTTTAGCTTAGTAAAACTTTCGACGTTTTTTCAAGCGATAACTTTAAACCACGGTAAACTAGAAGTCCTTGTTTAAGGTCCAGTGGCAGTAAGTCTGAATTTTAGAACCCATTTAACCCATATTTTTTGGTTTTTCTGTTTTCACTTTTTGCGTTTTTAAATGTTTATCTTTATGTTTACGCTATTTTTGCCGTATTTTGAGTGCATAGTTAAATTATTCCGATACAAGATAAACTACAAAAAAAGTACTAGGTCATATTTATTGACATATTGGACATTTAAGTAGCTGATAATTTCATGATTAAAAAAAAAAATTTAAAACATAAATATTTTATCTAAAAAGTATTTCAGCACCCTAAATACTGGATGAGTTTGGTATGGGCTGGAGCCGTTGTAACAAGGAAAATTCTAGATTATTTATCATCTGAAATTCTTTATATATTTAAAAACAGACATTGATTCGCAATCTTACTTTAGAAGGTTATTTAATCATTATTTTTTTAAACAGCCTCGACTTTAAAGAGTCGCAACGGTTTAGGCTTCGGGTTAACCTCACCCAGTCACTTATACTTTATTGTAGCCCTAGGCATATACATTCTATAGATGCAACGCGCTAGTTTTTAACTTAAACTTAAAAGAAGTAATTGGCAAAATAGTGCTCGATTTTTGAGTAAGCGAGTTCAAATCTTGTGGTGCAGTGTGCAGTGTGAGATAGCGCTAATCTATAACACTTGATATCGATTTGCCATGTGGCAACTTTTGAATTAAGCAGTAAGTGCTTCATCCCTAATCATCCCTATACAGGGTTCCGACCACAAGGAAAAGGATTTAATTAGTTCTTTTGAGGACAAAAGATACAGAACAAAGCTTGATCCAATGATTCAGCAACAAAAATGTTTTGAGCACATGCTACACAATGTTTTCAAAAAAATATAAAAGTAGAATTTGAATCCCAAGATTTTTACTTATTCATCCAGAATTGAAAAGATGTAAAAACCGGCAAGAATTGTTCAACTGCTGGAACAAAATTTATGTCTCTCGTTCATTTTCAACAAGTATTTTTGCATAGTAATATGTTTTACCTAAACACACAAGAACCTGGTCAGATTTGTGAAACAGCAAAATAAACTTGTTTTTACACACCCTGTATTTTCAGGTTCTTTCTTCTTTCTTTCTTATAGTCCTTAAACATTGTGACGTCAATTTCTTTAGAAAATTTATAATTCATTCTCTCCAAGCTTTTAGTAATCACGTAGAAAGCCACAGTGGTCCAAACTGCGAACGCTCTCATGCAAAAATCTATCAAATTTTTCCAATTAATATTCATAAACTAAAGCTAGAAATAAGTTTGTTGTAATTATAACATGCACACATGTCCAGGGCTACAAAAATGTTGAGGCGAGTTAATAAGATAAAACCAAAGAACAGCGCTCAAAATTCCGAGGCAGAATTTTCATATCTGTCTGGATCTCCGTGAAGCTTCAGTCTTTAAACTAAAATAAATTAGTGACACTGACAGAGAACAAATTTTCTATTTCTAAGTTTTCCTAAATAAATCAGATTTTTGTAAATCTGAAATAATTTAGTTGTTGAACCCGAAATCTGAAATAATTTTTAAGATAAAGAAGTTAACAACTGAATAAAAAGCCGCAAAGTTACAAAGTTACAAAGCTTCTCTGATCTGTTTCTGTTTAAACACCAAACAGCATCCCATCCGTTTCTGTTTAAACACCAAAACAGCATCCCATCTGTTTCTGTTTAGACACCAAGCAGCATCCCATCTGTTTCTGTTTAAACAACAAACAGCATCCCATCTGTTTCTGTTTAAACACCAAACAGCATGCCATCTGTTTCTGCTTAAAAACCAAAACAGGATCCCTACTTTTCCTTGCTAGATAGATAGATAGATGGATAGATAGATAGATTAATAGATAGATTAATAGATAGATTGAAAGATAGAGGATGAGACTTCAATTGTACGGAATTTATTTAGTCTATTTCCTTGCATTCAGAGTTATTTATTATTATTATTTCAAAACACTCAATTAAAAGCAGAAACTAGAAAGCATCAAAACATCATATTTTTAGAATTTTGGGTCGTCTTTACAGTCTCATCCTTTGTGGGATAGATAGATTGATAGATAGATAGATAGAAGATAGATAGATAGATAGATAGATAGATAGATAGATAGATAGATAGATAGATAGATAGATAGATAGATAGATAGATAGAAAGATAGATAGATTGTTAGAATGTCAACAATGCTATTAAAGTTTCAATGTAGAATAAAAAACGTAAATACTTGATTCCCCTGACAACTGAACCAGGTCGGATACTGTAAGTGCAATCAATGAACATAGCTTAAATCTTTTTATAAAATAAATAGTTTTGCTGTTTAGTCTGATCCGATTAAAGGGCCTGTACGCTAAATTTATAATATTCAAATATGGTTTTATCTAAACTTCAGCAGAAACAAGAGGTTGAATTTTTACTGATTTCCATTTTGATTTTATTATTGCGATTTGAGTAAAAAATGAGATTTCTTTTTATAAAATATCTATGGTTTTTCATAGAGCTAAGAAGGAAGGACGAATAAAGGTAAAAATAAATTTAAATAATAATTAATTCATAAAAGTTTAAAAGTTTAATGCAAATTTAACATTAAAATCAGTGTAGCATGCATTATTTTAATATAATCCCTTCCCCCCTATAAAACATATGACTAAAAAAGGGTTTACTTGTTTTTTTTTCGTGTAAAATAATAAATATTAATATTGTAACATACAAATATTTGCAGGTTTACAAATATATTAAGTTACAATGTAAATATTGACAAGAAAGAGCAATTCGGGGGAAGACATTGTTTAGAAGGGGGGGGGGGGGTTTGAGGTGAACAATTATATACTGTATACAAATGCCTTATATTAAATATAATATTGAATAATGAATATTCTTTATTTTAGGATGAATTTACTTTTCAAGCAATAATCACAGAAATAAACAAGTTCAGGTCCGGATGTGGAGGTAAAGTAAACAAGAAATAAACAAGTTCAGATCAGGATGTGGAGGTAAAGTAAACAAGAAATAAACAAGTTCAGGTCCGGATGTGGAGGTAAAGTAAACAAGAAATATACAAGTTCAGGTCCGGATGTGGAGGTAAAGTAAACAAGAAATATACAAGTTCAGGTCAGGATGTGGAGGTAAAGTAAACAAGAAATATACAAGTTCAGATCAGGATGTGGAGGTAAAGTAAACAAGAAATGGGTACATTAGACATAATATAAGTTACCTGACAATTAAAGAATAGTGAATCTTATACGACCTATACTCACATCCGCTATACTTCCTGACCTACTCTCACGTGGTTTCTAGCCTGTTCTACCGTTACACTTGGCCCCCTCTAGCCTGCTCTACCCTTTACGCTCGGCACCCTCTAGCCTTTTCTAGCCGCAGCACTGGGCCCCTTCTAGCCTGTTCTAGCTGCAGCAGTAGGCCCCCTCTAGCCTGTTCTAGTCGCAGCGCTAGGCCCCTTCTAGTCTTTTCTAGCCGCAGCAGTAGGCCTCCTCTAGTCTGTTCTAGCCGCAGCGCTAGGCCCTCCTCTAGCCTGTTCTAGCCGCAGCAGTAGTCCCCCTCTAGCCTGTTCTAGCCGCAGCGCTAGGCCCCCTCTAGTCTGTTCTAGCCGCAGCGCTAGGCCCCCTCTAGTCTGTTCTAGCCGCAGTGCTAGGCCCTGAAATTGTCTTAACCTAAAAATTAAATAAATTAAAACTAACAGCTGTCGTAGGTCGGATATTGCCGTGGGTCGGAAAGTGTCTAGGTAAAAAGTTCAATAGATGGGATGTTACGTATTAATGATGTAACATTACCCAATTAAAGATTTACATTCGTAATTAACATCGTTTTTTTACATTGTTAATTTCTGTAAATTTCTTTACTTCTCTGTTGTATAAACTCAAAAGTCGCATTTATAAAGAAATCTCATTAATAAATTTTCATGTTATAGAAAAACATCGAATATACTTATCAGTTTTTCTTAGTCGAAGGTTTTAAGTGTACTAATCACCCCTGTGTGTCCATTAGCGCCTGATCCAATCAAGGTTCAGTCATATGTTTATTGTCTATTCTGAACCAATATAAATAGTTTGTCGGTAACATCTATCTTTCTATCTATCTCACCCCAATCAGAGTTATGAATCCTTCAATCGGTGCTATCAGTAAATGGAAGTATTTACTTCTACTGAAACTATAGTGCAATGCAACTATACTAAAAGGAGAATCACTTGGAATGACGCGCATAGTCCCTTTAAAGCGATCTACACCAGTTTTTATTTGAACATCTTTTTACAGGTTTACTTGACTACGATTGGATATCGATTCCCCTAGTTTACACTCAGGTATAATCAGCACAATTTTTTTTAAAAACATTTTTAAAAAAATTTCAAAATTTTGAATTAAGGTTGTAACCCTTGCAGTTTACTCTTTCTTTGTTTCCTCCTTGATGGGTAGACAGTTTCTAGACCCAACCAGCAAACTAGCAGGACATGAGGTAGTTACTCTAAACTTTTATATAGGAAAGAAAACTAGCAGGACATGAGGTAGTTACTCAAAACTTTTATATAGGGGAGAAAACTAGCAGGACATGAGGTAGTTACTCTAAACTTTTATATAGGGAAGAAAACTAGCAGGACATGAGGTAGTTACTCAAAACTTTTATATAGGGGAGAAAACTAGCAGGACATGAGGTAGTTACTCAAAACTTTTATATAAGGGAGAAAACTAGATGGACATGAGGTAGTTACTCAAAACTTTTATATAGAGGAGAAAACTAGATGGACATGAGGTAGTTACTCAAAACTTTTATATAGGGGAGAAAACTAGCAGGACATGAGGTAGTTACTCAAAACTATTATATAGGGGAGAAAACTAGCAGGACATGAGGTAGTTACTCAAAACTTTTATATTGGGGAGAAAACTAGCATGACATAAGGTAGTTACTCAAAACTTTTATATAGGGGAGAAAACTAGCAGGACATGAGGTAGTTACTCAAAACTTTTATATAGGGAAGAAAACTAGCAGGACATGAGGTAGTTACTCTAAACTTTTATATAGGATAGAAAACTAGCAGGATATGAGGTAGTTACTCAAAACTTTTATATAGGGAAGAAAACTAGCAGGACATGAGGTAGTTACTCAGAACTTTTATATAGGGGAGAAAACTAGCAGGACATGAGGTACTTACTCAAAACTTTTATATAGGGGAGAAAACTAGATGGACTTGAGGTAGTTACTCAAAACTTTTATATAGGATAGAAAACTAGCAGGACATGAGGTAGTTACTCAAAACTTTTATATAGGGAAGAAAACTAGCAGGACATGAGGTAGTTACTCAGAACTTTTATATAGGGGAGAAAACTAAGGTAGTTACTCAAAACTTTTATATAGGGGAGAAAACTAGCAGGACATGAGGTAGTTACTCAAAACTTTTATATAAGGGAGAAAACTAGATGGACATGAGGTAGTTACTCAAAACTTTTACATAGAGGAGAAAACTAGGTGGACATGAGGTAGTTACTCAAAACTTTTATATAGAGGAGAAATCGGAGGCGCAACAGGGGTTTTTTGTAAAGGGAGGGCGTATAAATTTAGTTTGGTTTGGGGCAGGAGGTACATTAGTTGAAATATGCTTAGACAGAGTGTTTACCATTTTATTAACATTATACATATGCTTCAATTATATTATCATGTTTCATTTTGTTTTTCAATTTGTATTGGTTCAAATCTAAGCCATTTATTTGCTTAACTTTTCAGAAAAAAACCAATTCTCTTTTATTATAAAAATTTTTATTGTTGCTCTTATCAATCATTTTTTTATAAGAAAAATCTAAACTTAAAAAAAAAATTTTAAACCATTTTTTTATTTCGCCGACATGTTAATTGAAATATTTAGGTTGATTTGTATGTTCCTGTTTTTACATTTCTTCAATTCTTCTTCTACATGGGATGGTTGAAGGTATTTTGTTTTGTTGTATACGAAACCCTTCACTACATCAAGAAATATACAGGGTGTCCCACGAAACATGACAGATTGTCAATAGTTTTGAATGTCTTCTTCCACTTACTGTGTTAGATATTAAAGAATTTGTACAGTTTATTTCGATAAAAAAATCTTTTAATCAAAATTATTTTACTTTTGAATTAATGGTAATAAAATATGACTGCCATGTAATATTTTTCATTATTGTTTTCGGCATTAAACAACTTAAAACATTATGGATGAAGACATTTGAAACTATTCATCAACTGTCATGTTTCGCGGGACACCCTGCATAATCTTATTTAAATGATTAATTTGTTTCTGCACTAACTGTATCTATTCTAGTGTCTATTGAAAGTAACCGTCACAACCATAGATTAATAACAATACTGATAGAACACTAGATGTCGTCTTTTCAAGATTTAGAGGGTTTTTGTTCCCAATAACCCTGAGGCAGGAGCCCTATATACTATATAGTTACGCGCATGCTCTCTCACTGTCTTGTAAATCTTGAAAAGACAACATCTAGTGTTCTATCTGTATTGTCCTTATTCTATGGTCACACAACACTTTTAAGCAAACAATAGACATTTATCAAAGCTTTGATCCTTCCCATTTGTTTACATTGCACCCGGAAAGGACAGTACACAGTTCCTGTTTATAGTTTCTTGCAGTACCTGGCACAAGACAATAAACAAAACAAATTGATTTGGTCAAAAAAATATATCTTATTAAATCCAAAGAGATATAGAACTAAATGTTTATTTGTTTACATTACCATGATGACGTATGTGGACAGCTCAGAAAATAGTTTTTAGATTACAAATTTCTTGGCGACAATTCATAAAAAAGAGGAAGAAATAACACAACAATCATTCCACTGTTTTCTGGTCACCACTGTAATATGTAGTTTATAGTTATTTATGTATATATAATCAAAATTATATATATTTATAATATAGATATTTATATTATATATAATAATGATAAAAAATAATAATAATAATATTCTGATTACATAGGTTGCTGAAGTTCTGATCAATCCATTCGGGGAGGACGATGAAGACTTTGAGATGAATTGGTTAATTGACAGGTTAGACACTGATTGACAGGTTAGAAACTGATTGACAGGTCAGAAACTGATTGGTAAGTTAGAAACTAATTGACGGGATAGAAACTGATTGTATGTTAGAAACTGATTGACAGGTTATAAACTGATTGACAGGTTACAAACTGATTGACAGGTTACAAACTAATTGACATGATAGAAACTGATTGACATGTTAGAAACTAATTGACAGGTTAGAAACTAATTGACAGGATAGAAACTAATTGACAGGTTAGAAACTGATTGACATGTTAGAAACTAATTGACAGGTTAGAAACTGCAGATTGATATGTTAGAAACTGATTAACAGGCTAGAAACTGATTGTCAGGTTAGAAACTGATTGACAGGTTAGAAACTGATCGATAGGTTAAAAACTGATTGACANCTCACAGAGCACGGGTTTTATTGACAGGTTGGAAACTGATTGACAGGTTAGAAACTGATTAAAAGGTTAGAAACTGATTGAAAGGTTAGAAACTGATTTACAGGATAGAAACTGATTGACAGGCGATAAACTGATTGACAGGTTATAAACTGATTAACAAGTTAGAAACTGATTGACAAGTTAGAAACTGATTGACAGATTATACAACTGATAGAAAGATTTTAGATTAGAAACTGATTGATAAGTTTGAAATTGACTGACAGCTAGAAACTGATTGACATTTTTTTTTTTGCAGAAATCTGCAAGTTGCATATTTAATCGTTGATGATATGCACGCCGAGCACCCTGAGCTTGTCAAGGTAAAATATTTGTTTATGTTTCTGTAAAATATAAATGAACAACACAACAGCTTTATATAAATTTTAACTAAAAAAGTGCAAACTTTTCTACAGATTATTTAATTTCTTATATCCTCATATCTTTGCAATCAGATGTCGTAGATCTTAGATATCTTATACCAAGGATTTCCTTGGATAAAACTATCAAAGGTTCAAAGATATTGAGATTTAAAAAAGAGTTTGAGGGGTAAATGTTCAGAAAAACATCGTATGATAGTACATATTTTAATCCAAATTTTTGAACTTTTAATTCATTAAATTTTACATAACATCGGCAATATCTAATATTTTTATGGTTCTTTTATCTATTTTGATGAGTTTGCTAAAATATTTATGCTTGCTTGTATTGTAAAGTAAGAAATTTTATGATTGCACTTTTCTACATTTATTAAAACTTATTAAAACCTAAAACATTGATTTTGCATTTTATTAATGTACTTTTCATGTAAAGGATATACTCCAGATTATTTAAATTTCTTGCAACTTCGTTTCTTTTACCTGAAATTTATAAATCGAAGAAAGTTTTTCATACGAAATAAATTCCTTTATAATTTGTTTCTCCTTCAGCTGCTTACTCAACAATTTTCAATTTCTTCAAATTAATTGAAATGTCAAGTTTATCGGAAACTAGTCTCTAATTGAAATGTCAAGTTTATCGGAAACTAGTCTCTAATTGAAATGTCAAGTTTATCGGAAACTAGTCTCTAATTGAAATGTCAAGTTTATCGGAAACTAGTCTCTAATTGAAATGTCAAGTTNATATATGAATTTTTGTATAATTTTAACACAGTTTTATATCAGTTTCTCGAGACAGGAACATCAGATAAAACTTTCATGGGTCGCGATCAAGAGCTAAAGTGATTAGCTTTCAGCCTATACCCCCTTTCATTTTTCCTTTACAGTCCCTTTAAACCCCCAGAGGTCAAAACTTTGTATTTCTAATCTACAGGGGCGTACGAAAGCATTTGTGAAGGGGGTGGGGCACATGTTGCAGCGCGCAAAAAAAATGTTGTGCCCTCCCCTTGGCAACATTGTGCCCCCCCCCTTAAAACCCCTTTTTTGAAAAAATATTGATACAATATCTATGTAAACGCCAAACGCCCCCCCTCTAGAAAAAGCCTTAGAGAATAGGTATAGGGTTGAAATGCATGTGCATAGCCCAATTTGCCAAGGCCAGCTCATTGAAAAAAATTAGAACGATTACCTTAATAGTTTGGGAGGGTTGAAAAAAGCGCCAAAAAAAGGTCAGAAAAATGAAAAAAAATTTGTTTTAAACAAATATGAAAGTGTGACACATGTTTCTATATCCAATTTTCAAGGGCTTTTCAGAAATATAGTTTTTAGATATGTAGCTTTAGTAACAATTTTAGATATTTTTTTCCAAAGACTGGACTTTTTTCTTTTAAATTACTATACTAAATTACTATTAAGTTACAAAATTTCACGATGATAGTATTAAAAATGAGAGTGCTAGGACAAAAAAACTACAGGGGGGTGCAAAACGCCCCCCAGACAATCCCTCTTAATACTGTGGTTTAAGCTTCAAAGCTTCAAGGGATGAAAAATAGAGATGGAAACGTTTCTAAAAAAAAGTACATATTTTCTTAGGATTGTTTTAAATTATGATATCAAATATATATTTACACTGAAGGCAGTATTGATTAAAGCTTTTTTAATGAAACTTTTTTAGCTAAGGGAAAAAGTGAGATTTTAAGGTATTTTTTTACACGATGTAATTATACTTGAATGGAATAGTAATCTATTGATGACGTGCAACGTTCAGTCGATTTATCTAAGCGATATTTCAACCAAAAGTTTCAGACTCAGGGGGAAATTTTGAAACAGATTTGAAACCCAAAAGTGTGTTTATCTATGAAGAGAAAATATTTTTTTTAAATTTTTTTTTCGACATAAAAAATGTAGTCAAAAAATTTAATATTTTCTAGCCCTTCTTCCTGGTTTCAAATATTTGAAAATATTTTCTAGCTTTTTCTTTCTGGTTTCAAATATTTGAAAATATTTTCTAGCTTCTTCTTTCTGGTTTCGAATATTTGAAAATATTTTCTAGCTTTTTCTTTCTGGTTTAAACATTTGAAAATATTTTCTTTCTTTATATTTCTGCTTGGAAACATATTATCGAAAGAGAAGGATTTTAATCAATAAAGACTAGTTTTCCATGACTTTTTTTGAGTTTGGAAATATACACATAATGTAGGTGTAGAATTCCAGTTATTTTCTGAGTTATTCTGAATCTTGATGATTCTTAACATGTTTATATTATATTTAAAATTAGTTGGTTAAATTGTTATTATTTTAACTTTACTTTCATTGGTCAAAAGTTTTGAGGTTCAATAAATAACTTAAACATATTTGAATTGACCTAAAGGGATTGTACACTTTATTTCAAGTAAATCTCAACTTAAATCTTGAGAACAAATGTTGAAGTTATCCCTTTTTTCACTCTGGAAATTGAGGTTTAGAGAAGTTATATTTTTTTATCTAAGATCTTATCTTTCATTTTAAAAATTCGTAAAAGACTTATGAGTGTATCGATCATGAACCGCTTTACATTGAGGATCACTTGAAATTATGTGAAAAACTGTCGACTTTGTTAAATGTGTATGTACCCAAGGTTATAATGCAAGGAAAGTTATTTCAGAGGTGTACGCATCTTTTGTACTGCAGTGTACTGTCTCTGGGTGGTAACGTAAACACGACGGACATAGAAGCCTGACATGGGATCCATCTTTCACATAAAAAATCAATGAAATATTCTGGTCATAGGAAATTATTTTGTGAATTATTAAAATTAACAAAATTAAATGCTTTTATCCTTCTCGGATACTAAACTAACATTGATGTATCTATTATAGTTTACAAATTCCGCCCAGGGAGAACTGGTTTCAATATGTACGCAGAGTATACGCAACTGCAATTAACTTTCCTTGCATTATTACCTTGTATGTACCTATGTACAAAATCAGGATCAATACTGGGATGAGGGTGTACCCGATGAACTACCGTACACTGTTGCATCAGAACAATTCAGGTATGCAGAAAACTTTACTGTGTTTGTACATTAGTTAAAATAAGAATATTAAAAATAATGTTAAAACTAAACTTATGACAAAAGTGGTGTTAGTATAAAAACATTTATGACTTGCTAATATACTTATCAGTAGTAACGATAATAATACTAAAATAATACTTACTACTACTACTACTACTACTACTTCTACTACTACTACTACTACTACTACTACTAATAATAATAATAAAATAAAATAACGCTGATGCAAATACAAATGATAACACTAATAATAATGATACTCTAGAACGGATGGTATGGGTCTAGGATCAACTGCTGACGATGAACTAAGTCCAGAAGATCAAGAGATTATATTAATGGACAGGTGAATTTATATTTATTATTTTGTATTTATATTCACTGTTAGTTTGTATCCAATTGACGTCAGAACGGCTGAACCGATCAGGCCAAAAGAAATGGTTAGTAACTTATGGTTAGCTGAAATTGATTAAGGAAATACTAGAGCAGAGACACAATTTGTTTGCTGAAATTTGAGGAAATACTAGAACAGAGAAATGATTGATTGCTGAAATTGATTGAGGAAATGCTAGAACAGAGAAATGATTTGATTCCTAAGATTGATTTACGAAATACTAGAGCAGAGAAATGATTGATTGCTGTAATCGATTTTTTTTCTTCTAGGATTGATGAGGGTGAGGAGAGTGATGACGATCAAATCAAGTAATTAAATCACAATCAATAAATCAAACAATTAGAAAAACTTTTATGGGACGAGTTTGATTAGCTCCCAACAAATTAGATTTTTATTCATTTTTACCCCTTGTTACAGAGTTTCTTACAAAGAATGAGAATTCGGAGACGAATTTACCGTTTACAAAACGTATTCAGAGTTTTCTTTTATATTCCCGCTTTACTGCAAGTTTTAAAATTTCTCTTCCATTGCTAAATAATGTATTAAAGGGAGAAGACTAAATCTAAACTTCAGATTATTAAATTTATTGAGTTTCGTGTCTTCATACACGTCTCTTCCTTTCTACAGTTAGGTGAGACCAATAAACTGGAATAGAAAGACGACATTTAATCATTGTTTGTGTGGAATTTATGTTGTTTTAAAGCAACTACTTATACAGTAGCTTAAGAACTTAACCAACGTATACGCCAACTGGGTCTGTGCACAGTAATTGAAAGAAAAAAAATGTTTCGTGTTTATGTGTTTATGTCGTCTTCCAGTTATAGGTCCCACTCCCACTTAATCAGAAGGACATGGATTTAACTTACAATTAATCAGACTTGTTTACAATATAAGTTTACAAATATGATTTTGAAACGATAATCAGAAGTAGCCCTAGTCCTGCCATCTCCAAAATATTGTTTGCCAGAGATATATATAATTATCCACTTATGCACCCCGCCTCCCTGTCCCCTCCCCCGCCCCTTGTGCACAAGAGAAGCATCTCTGAAGCAAGAATTCTCCTGTGCACAAGGGGGGGGGAGGCCGAACAGGGGGGCGAGGGGCATAAGTTGAATTTAGGGAAGGGGGCAGGGGGTGCACGAAAATTATTAATTTATCTTTATAAAGAAGTTATCTTGGTTTGTTTCTATGTCTGATCAAAGCTTATAAACTCCTTGACCGATTTGCCTCAAACTTTTATTGGGGAACTCGTTATAAACATGGGAATGTTTAAGTCGCCTGATTAACTATCAATTAATTCCAGGTCTTTCTGACTATGACTGTCTTTTTAAATTCAAGACTCTAAAGATTCAAAACTGAAAAAGTTCTATTTGTTTTTTTTAATGGTTGAAAAAGAGTTATTTTAAAATGTTTTTTTATTAATTTATTATAATTCCAAGGATGAAGATTGCTACTGAACCAGTTACTATTGGGAATGGTGTAGGGAGTAACAGGTGCGAGAAGGACGAGGAGGGGTGGGGAGGGGGGGGGTTAATCAATAACATCCCTCCTTCCCCCTCTTTACCTAATCTTCTAATTTTATCCTCTATTTCCTCTAATTGGGTCTGTATCCTCTTATTTTATTTATTTTATTGTTCATTTTCATTAATTATAACTAAATATTACATTTTAGCTCAAATTCTAAGCTTTTCAAAAAAAAATACAATTTATTTTTTCTCTTTAAAATTTCAAATTTTGAGATTTTAGATTAGAAAACGTTTTTTTAAATAAAGAATTGTAAAAGGTTCCATTCTTTCTTTATTTTAAGGCTTCCATTCCTCTCCTTCTTTTAGTGTCATCTTTTTTATTCTTTCTATTGTATATCTTTGAAATGAATTCTGTTTAAAATTGTAAAGTTTTAAACAATGAGGTTTCCGCTGAAAACTTTAATCTAGTTTTGAAATATTTTAATTTAGAGGTTCGCTTGCTGAAAGTCAAACACTACGGAAGGGTAGTGCAGAGAATAGAGGTTCTAATAGGTATTATACTTATGTATATCATCTACCATTATGTACTCTATACTCAGGCGCGCAACGAGTGGGGGGCAAGGCCCTCCCTAGCCTGATTAAGGGGGGGGGCATGCCCCTCCCTGAAGAAGGCTAAGTCCACCCTGTTTTGCAATTTAGCGATTCATGAATTCCTGGGAAGAGCGGGGAAAGGCAGGCGGCCATGAGCCACCACTATTTCCTCTTCCGTGCCACATATTAGCTTTCTTCTCTTCCGGCAGCTATGAGCCACCACTATTTTCTCTTCTGGACCACCATATTTGACACTTCCGGGCAAAACAACTTTTTTAAATGATACATTTAGGGCCTTTAAAGTGTGATTTTAAAAATCCAGCCGCGTCACGCAAAAAAGCACAACTAAAACCATTCTTTCAATAAGATTAATATATTAATATATTACGCGTTAAAGATTTTACCAAAATTTTTAGCAATTTTTACTTAAAACATTGCAAATTTTCACACAAGGGTACCCTTCAAAACTGAAGTGTATTTTATGGTGCGTCATTTTAATATTCATATCGCCCTTAAATTTTTTTTATGAAAATCAGAATTTAGATTTGAAAAAAAGAGTTTTGCAGTTTACATTAAGAGGAATCATCCTTTTTTATACTAACACTTTAATATAGATTTGAATATATATTTTTTGTGTGACGCGGCTGGAGTTTTGAAAATCACACTTTAAGTCCCTAAATACATATATTTGATATATAGTTTATTCTATCACAAACTTATTTTGATTAAACTGAAATATGTTTATTTACTAACGAAAACCTCAATATATCAATTTATGAATGGCTAACTCTTAATTATTATCTTTCTAAGGTTTAAAATACAAAGCTTTCCATGTAAAATTAGATTGTCCATGAAATCGTAAAGATCAAATACGTCCAGAGGTCAAAACTTTTGAGTAAATCTACATATTTAACTTGTGGCGAACTTTTAAACTTGACCGAGCAGTTTCGTTATCCCTGCCGAGGTCCGACCCATTGTTAATTTCAATACTTGAAGAACCCCATATTCTATATTAGCCTTCTTATTATTATTATTATTATTATTATCATTTAATGTTCTATTATGTATATCTATCATATATCTATAAAATGAAGCTATTTCTCATATATAGATATATATATATATAATATATTTACATACAATAGGCAAAAAAATTCGATATTTTTTTCTTAAGGATTCGATTTTTTAAAGTTTCGCGGGGAACGCGTGCTAAGCTGTTCAGCTAATACTTAACATTATAGATCTGTGATGGCAATGCTGCAGTCTATGATTAAGGGAGGATCAAGTACTAATCTAAACAAAAGAAATGGTAGTTCAGCTAGCATTTTTTCCACAGCTACAAAGGTAAATAATAAACAATAGATACTGGACATTAGACAATAGACACTAGATACTAGATACTAGATACTAGATACTAGGAACTAGACACTATATAATAGATACTAGGCACTATTGTCAACCATTAACATTAAGACCCCCCCCCCCCCGCAGTTTATGTTATATCGTCTTCAACTTAAATGCTCCTCTCGGAGACAAGAATCCAAACCAAACAATTTCAGCCCGCCTTTCTTCCTTGTTCTCCGATGACGGAGTTAAAACGTTTATCAATTGTGAACCATTTCAAAGTTAAACAAAAACATTTCTATTTAAAGAATTAGTGACTTTCACCAACATTTAATTGTCAATCTTTTCAGAAGTTTTAATGTATAAATAGCGTCTTCGGACTTTTCGACAGATAGTCTCACGAATAGGAAAATAGATCGTAAGAATCTTTTCATTATAAATTTGTAAACCTTGTAATAATTATTTATCATCATTCATTTCGTTATTTTTTTAGGAAATAAAGAGTTTTCTGCATTATCGATTTTGATTCGTGGGTTATACCTTGTCTATCTGTTCATCGTCAGAATCTTGTTTCTTAGCGACAACAACTATATACTATACACTAAACACAACATACTGGACACTAGATTCTAGACACTATACAATATTTACTATAAAGTAGACACTAGATACTAGACACTTTGATACTAGACACTAGACACTAGATACTAGACACTTTTATGCTAGACACTAGACACTAGATACTAGACACTAGATACGAAACACTAAATACTAGACACTAGGCACTATATACTGGACACTAAATTCTAGACATTATACACTAGATACTATACACTAGACACTAAACACTAGCCTCTAGATTCTAGATACTAGACACTATGCAATAGACACTGTGCACTAGACACTATGCATTAGACACTATGCACCAGACACTATGCACTAGACACTAGAGACTAGAAACTAGACACTAAACATTTTATACCATACACTAGGCTCATAGGCACTAGCCACTAGACACTAGACACTATTGAATTTACACTAGACATTATAAATAATGTCCCTGTAATGATGGCATATATTTAGTATCCTAACCGGCAGTTAAGAAGACGCAAGAAAACTTACGCATCCAGGTATAGAAGTAAAATCTGGAGAAAATTCAAAACTTCACAATAAAAGAAAATAAAAACTTTTCACTTTTATTTTCAAAAATTCTGTAATACACCTGAACTGAAAAAGAAGGACGGGGTTTCTATCCCTCAATTCAAAAAATAAATTCCAAACTTTTTTTATTATTTTCACAACAAAATATAAACAGAAATAAAGTTTTCACCCTTTTTCTACTCAAGTGTTATATTTTCAGAATGCAACAATTTAGTTTAATTAATTGAAGAAACAAAATGTGTTTCGTCCCTAACCAAAATGTGAGTAAATGGATAATGGAAAACGATGAAAAAGTGTCCAGGAAAACTATAAATATGACAATTTTTCTTGAATCAAACATTTTTTTATAAAAGAAAAACATTTTTATTTAGAGCTTCTACTCTGTCCTCTCCTCGTAATATGTCAAGGGTACAAACTAAGGTAGGAGAATTATTATTATTATATATTATTATTATTATTATTAATATTATTATTTTAATTATCTATTATTATTATTATTATTATTATTATTATTATTATCATTATTATTATTATAATCATCAACTAATCAATTAATAATTACTATTATCATCATTATTATTTCATTGTTAACATTTTTTAAATTCTCAGGAAAATGAAATTTTCAAAATGTCCAGTAATTCATCTGTTAATACTTACCATTCAGAGTCAGGTAGAACAAAATATTATGTTTAAACAAAAGACAATTTTATTTTCAAAAAAAAGTATTTAAAATTTTTTTCTCACAGAAGTGGGGTGGATGGGGGGGGCTTAAAATAAAATGGTATTTTTTATCTCATACATACATTTTTTACTTTATGTATACTCGTTGGCACACTGTCCTGCACAGTGCACATTGTACACTTATTATTTAATAGATTTTCCCAGCCGAAGTAATAGTGACGCGCATGCGCTCAAAGAAGTACGCGATTTGCTTAAGAATGATCTGAACAAGGAAAATATGGAGAAAGCTGTTTGTTTTCTAATTAACATAAAAAACATCTGGGACCAGAGGCCAAATTTAAAGAATTTGAACCGAGGTTTAAATTTGAGTTGGTTCTCCTTAAAATTATATTCAATGTTTCAAGATTTAAGCCTGGCGCTTAAATGAAACCGGTTTTAGCGGATTAGAGACGCGGTTCAAGTTCATTAAATTCGGACTCAGTTTGCATAGCTGAGCCGGGAGCCTTGAGTTGATTCAAATGACCTTAACAAGCATTTCATTTGTTTAATTTCAATTATTTTAAATAAGATTTAAATAGCTTTAACTCATTTGAATTATTCTAACCCAGTTCATGTTACTTAAAAGTTCTTAACTTTGGATACCAGAGCTGAAATCTTTTTTTCGTTGGATACTTAAAATTCCGATTTTGATATTCACTGAGGACACTTTTAATACGAATATCAATGCTTTTTCTTTCAGTTTTCCCTTTAGGGAACGATTACCATGGATATTTAATGAGATTAGATTAATCTGCAGATTAACAAAAGATCAAGCATTGAGCTCTTTATTCACAAAACAGACATTTTTCTTAGATTTTGAAAGCTTCTTTGTAAGGTTTATTAAATCATAAGAGGTTCTCTTTTCTTGTTTTTATTTAAAGAATCTGGAAAGCTTTTATCCCTACTTTCTGCAGTATCATGGAACTCTTAGAAGTGACGCAGCACTAGTACTTAGTTTAGAGGGAAGGTAGGAACCATTAAAACTTAATTAAGCTTAACTATATTAGTTTAGAGGGAAGGTAGGAACCATTAAAACTTAATTAATATTAACTATATTAGTTTAGAGGGATGGTAGAACCATTAAAACTTAATTAATATTAACTATATTAGTTTAGAGGGAAGGTAGGAACCATTAAAACTTAATTAATATTAACTATATTAGTTTAGAGGGATGGTAGGAACCATTAAAACTTAATTAATATTAACTATATTAGTTTCATAATAAGCAAACTAATAGCATAATGTTAGTGATGGGAACTGATTTAGCTCGTTTTTTGTGGTTTGTTTATTATTATTTTTATTATTAAAAGTATTGAGTCTTTGCCACAAACTCTAATTTTCTAATCCCAGTATCTATACAACCAAATGGTTATTATTTCAAACTTTGATTATTTGATATAACGGAATTCATAGAAATATCTCAGGTCTTCGACATTTGGTTGCAAAGATATAGAGATTATAAAATGTACAAAAGGAGTACATTCCCTTCATCTATATATAAATTTGGCTTGTCTGTCTGTTTGTAACCAATAAACGTCAAAACGGCTGAACCGATCGGGCCCAAATTTTTTGTGGGACATCTAGGGACCCCAGGGAAGGTTTATGAATGATTGAAATTTTAAATATGTGTCTCCATCAAAATTCGATCGTCATTAAATTTTTTAAAATTTTGAAAATCCACGAAATATTTTGTGAAAATCCGCGAATTATTTTTGTTTTGTTTTACAATGTACACAAAGAGAACATGTTCACAATTAATTTAGAAGATGGGCGCGAAGCGCCCTCTAAGGCTAGTTTAGTATAAATACCTTGATTTTTATAAAAATGTGTTATTGAAGGATCACATTGGATTTTCTTTAAAAGAGCAATTAAGTGCATTATGCATATTCTGAAAAACCTTCTAATACAGTTTCTGTTCAAATATTTTGAAATTAGTTTTTAACAAATTATTGTAATCTGCCTTTGAAATAGCCTAACCTGACCCTAAACATATTCTAACCTGCCCCTTATAATATTCTAACCTGACCCTAACCATATTCTAACCTGCCCCTAAACGTATCCTATGTTGCCCATGAAAAATATCTAAAAATATTTCATGCTGAACCTAAAACAACCCCGACCTGCCCCTAAAAAAACTTTATTTTAGGGACTTACAAGGATCTCAAACTAGTATACAGAGCCCTGATGCTAGCGGAGTTAGTCTAAAAAATCGCCGGAAAGAACACAGGTAAAATACATCACATTTTTTTAGTTATTACTAAATTGAGTTCTTGTAACAAACTCAGATTGATTGATTGATTGATTGATTCATTGATTGATTGATTGATGTATACTTGTGATATTTAAAAAAATGAATTCTGTTAGATTATGTACAAATTCTTAGTTTGAAATAGCAGAGGTTTACAGCAAAAATCTTGAGATTAGAAATTTGAGTTTATGGCAAGAAATCAGCAAGAAGATTGTACATATTCGAAATAGAAAATTTGAGTTTAAAGAAATTGAGTAAATATTTGTGGAAAATGGTGAAAAAAATGCCGATGATTTTTAGAAAAAACATTTCCATAATTTCTTTTTACTAAAAATTTGAAATTTGTGGATTTTGACGTAAGTTTGTAGTTTCTTATAAATAAGTTATATATTTAATCATTTCAGGCATAAGCCAGATGCCCTGTATCAAACCAAAGTATTAAGAAAACGATTAGAACAGGTAATTTTAATATAATTGTAATTTTACTTTTAATAATTAATATAATTGAGAATTTCAGAGTTAAGATTAAAGAAATGTTCACTGGGAAACGCAATTCTGTTGTTTTTTGTATTTACACATATATATATTTGTCACATATAAATGTTTTAAAAATAAAATTAATTAATTTGTATTATTTTAGGTTCAAAGTCTGCAGAGGGAATTGATGAAAGAATTAGATTCAGAGTTGAAATATTCGTCCAAGGAAATCATTATCTAACTAACATTTTTTAAAACAATTTAAATACAGAACTTTTAATTTCAGAACATTTTCCCTGATTCTTTATTTTCAAAAGGAACTCTTTTCTTATCTTGATTTTCTAACCATTACATCTTTGCAACCTGGTTTTGTGGATCTTTATTTTTAAATGGGTATAAGTTTAAAATCTCCCATTTGCAAAGATATAAGGATGAAAGATAAGATTTTGAGGCGAGTAATAAGTTACTTTCTTTAGTAAAAACTATATTGTCTTTCCAAGATAAGTTTTTCGCACATTTTAAATTTTGTTTTGTCCATCTAAAGCTCAGATTTTCCTCTTTATTGTTAGATAACTTAACATTCTTCAGGACCATTCTATATCATTCGATGCTTCGGAGATGGTTAACATGCTCGAAAATAAGGTTTGATATAAACAAACTTGAAATTGGCGAAATTTTAACAAATTAGAAATTTATATCCTTTTGTTGTTTATTTTATTGCATCCTCGGACTTACAAATAATTACCGAAAATTGCAAGCATCTACATGAGGAACATTAGACTCTGAAGAAATTTGTTTATTTTTGAATTTTGTTTAATTTATTTACAGACGTCCGAAGTGAGAGAAGCAATGAAAAGAAATAAATCCTACGATGACGCAGGAAAATAAAAATAAAAATAAAAATAAAAATCTACATAATAAAACAAGACATTCTTATATATATGTGTTGCCTATAGCCGGCCGAACGGCTGAACCGATTGGGCTGAAAATTTTGATTTTTTTTTTCAAAATTTGTTATTCAATTTTTTTCCAAGGGCAACGCCAGACCCTTCAGCAAGTTACATATAGTTAAAGATTTTCAAAGAAGTTACACTATCATGAAAACTTATCATTGGCAAGAACAAAATTCAAATAATTAATATTTTTGCTTATGAGTAGATACAGGATGTATGAGTCCAACACTTGATAATTCTCCGTTCCAGAACTTCTCTGTTCCTCTGCCAGGTCACATTTAATAATAACTTCTTACACAAAGTATCAAGAATGCTTTAAAAGTATAGGGCTTTCAATCGGAATTCTTCTGCGCGGCATTACGCGGAATTGCGCGGAAATCGCAGGGTCCGCCATTTCTCGCATGTAAAATCCACTTATTAAATGAATAGCATATGGTACAGTGGAACCAAGAAAACTGTGGAATTATAATTTAATGAACACAATGAACCCAAAAATACAGAGAGTCGAGTGTGCCCATTTCAAATATCAAATAAAAGGTTGATTTTCAAGCTACTGCAACTGGTAAACTATATGCTCTATACAATATCATCAAATGTACAACATATTGCTAAAGTCTAATATTCCACAGTTATAGAGGTTTCGCTTGTATGGACAGCATTCTTTAAAAACTTCAAAAAAGTTTATAACATCTTTAACTAAGGAGAGAAAGGACATATCTCAACTCTCAACACTGTAATCAAACCGGAGTCTCTATATTAACTGATGTATTTACCAAAATCTATATGTTACATGTGTAGTTCTAATACGTATTCACAATATAACGAAGATGTATATATTATTGTATTTAAGCTAATCACAATACCTAGCTAGTCTAGTCGCATTACAAGTTTAGCGCATTAAAGGATTAGCGCAGCTAGAACCACAGACAATGTACAACGCAATAGTTCTGTTCAAACTGCATTTATTACAATAGTACTTGGAAGGTTTAACTATACTATCTGTGAACATATTTATTTTATTTTTTTTTAATGAGAATTTTCAAAATTTTAGGACACATCTTAAACAGTTCACATCTGGCAATAGGTGGATCACATAAGAATAGAAGCAGAAAAAGTTCTGGCATAAGGAATCAACTTATATCTGTTTACAAATTATTTAATAATTTCAATTTCAGTCGGAGTTTATGATTTTATTAAGATTTTAAAGATTTATTTATTCTTATTATCAAATACATCCACAAAGAGTAATCGACAAACAATTTATTTTAAAAATAGAAAAATAAATCGATATTTCCAGTATTACCCACCAGATGTCCTTCCAGCAGCCGTCTCCTGGCCCCAGCTCTCCGACAGAAGATATAGTGGCGCCCCCTATTACCTACCTCGGTGTACCGCTGGGCGCATTACCGCAATCTTTATCCGGTCACAATGTTCTAACTCCAGCTGCGGCACTTTCCTCTCATAAATCCCTGACCCACTCACAGGTATCAATACATTATAGAAATCAGAGACAGGGCGTATATATGTTTTTTTCCGGGAGGGNCCTGGAAACCATAAATTTTATTGAACATGGGGAGGGGGAGGGGGGATTTGTGACTCAAAGGAAAGCTTTAAGTTTTAAGATATATAGTACTTCTTATAGGCACCATGAATGTAAAAAAGAGTTGAATGTTTTAAATTATGCTAACATAATATATACAGAAATTTAAATTAATTATATTCTAGGACTTGATTTTTGACATAGATCCACTGTACACTACACAAGAACTTACAAGGTAAACAATTATTCTAAATAAACAAATATTCTGAATGTAAAGAGTTATTCTACATATAAACAAATATTCTAAATGTAAAGAAATATTCTAAATATAAACAAATATTCTAAATGTAAACAATCATTCTAATTATAAACAAATATTCTAAATATAAACAAATATTCTAAATATAAATAAATATTCTAAATGTAAACTAATAGATATTTAGATCAAGTTGATATTTTTAACATAAATTTAATGGTATTGCGCAACATTCTAACTATATGTTAGTTTTGTCTCCTTTCATGAAAAGTAAGCCAAACATATTTGCATGGTATATTTGTTGAAGGGATGGTGGAGATGGAGGTATTGGTGGAGAAGGAGTTACCTCCGAACCTCCTGGCTCTGATCTGCCTCCAGAGCAGGAGGAGGAGGAGGATGGAGAACCCTGGGATAACTGGGATCAAAGTAATCTTGGAACTATTCAGGTAAAATTAGATTGTATAACCTCAAGTCAGTATAATATCTGTAAAAAGATTGTATAACCTCAAGTCAGTATAATATCTGTAAAAAGATTGTATAACCTCAAGTCAGTAAAATATCTGTAAAAAGATTGTATAACTTCAAGTCAGTATAATATCTGTAAAAAGATTGTATAACCTCAAGTCAGTATAATATCTGTAAAAAGATTGTATAACCTCAAGTCAGTATAATATCTGTATATGTAAAAAGATTGTATAACCTCAAGTCAGTATAATATCTGTATATGTAAAAAGATTGTATAACCTCAAGTCAGTATAATATCTGTAAAAAGATTGTATAACTCAAGTCAGTATAATATCTGTAAAAAGATTGTATAACCTCAAGTCAGAATAATATCTGTATGTGTAAAAAGATTGTATCTCTGTATGTATCCCTGTATCCCTGTAACTCTATGTACCCCCCTATGTATCTCTGTATCCCTGTATCTCTATATATCAATATAGCTCTACATATTCCTGATTATCTCTATATATTCCTGTATATCTTTATGTACTCCTATATCTCTGTGTATCACAGTACCCATGTATCCTTGTATACCTCTTATCTATTATGTATTCCTATACTCCTCTGTGTATCCCTTTTTCACTGTGTCTCTTTGTATCCTTTATCTTAATTTATCCATGTATCTTAATTTATCCATGAATTCCCTGTATCCGAATATATTCCTGTATCTAGGAGCTACCTGAGCTTGGCTACCAATCAGACAGCTCTGATACTGATCAGCTGCTCCCGAAGTCAAGGAAGCTCTCTCCAACAAAGACAAAGACCTTGGAGTCGGATTCCCTTCAAACCGTCCCGGAAGATAAACCGATCTAAAACTCAGGTTTATCAATCATTTAATGATTGACAAGTTAGTTTTAAACCTACAAACCTAAATAAAAAATTAATTTATAAAACTAAAAAGTTACGTTGAGTGTTGCTGGTCACTTTGCAGTCCGAGGGTAGGAAGATCAGCCACAACTATCTCGCGTCCGAACCACATAATTCTCATTTTCTCGTCCGAGCCATACTAAAAATCTTCGTTCTTCAATTATTATGTGTTTAAAGTGTCAATCGAAGGACGAGGATTTAGAGATGGTTTGGACAAGAAAATAAGGAGAATGTGGCTCGGACGAGAAATTGTTGTGGTTGGCCTTCCTCCCTTCGCTGGATTGATTGATTCATGTATGTTACATTTTGGTTTTTCCATTTTATTGCATACAAATTATTAACTAAACTTTGTATCCAAATTTTTCTAAATTAAAAAATATCCCAAATTAATTTCTAATCAAATTTTTTCTTAGGAATTGGCAAGCAATACTGCCGCCTATAGCTTTTGAATCAACAATGGAAGACTACTAATGGAAGACACAAATAGGAAAATTAAATTAAAGCAAAAGTTTTTTTCCTTGGGAATATTCCTAAATGGCATTTCCCAAAATATTTACGTTTTCATTTATAATTTGTTAGTAAGTGATGATTAATGCATATTGGACAGAAAACTTTCATTTTATAAATGAAAATTTTGGAGTAGGTTAATTTCGTTAAAAAATTACGCAATTTGGTTACTTTGTACTTTTTAGGAAAGTGGGAAAAAATTGTTTTCATTATATATAGTTGCGTTTTATAGACCAATTTAATGTCATTTTAATGGGTATTATTAAGTGCGAACAAGTTTTTGCCGGGATTTTTATTTTTGCTAGTTTGTTTAAGATCAAAATGGAAGTACTTTTATTTTGATCAAAAATAAACTAGAAAAATAAAAAATCACAGCAAAAACTTTTTCGCACGCATGATATCCATTTCAATAACATATATGGTTTTATTCAGGTTTACTCAAATTATTTAAAAACAGGTCGATAAAGTTACTTAATCACCCTGTTGTAGGGTGAGTGATTAAGTAACTTTATCACCCTACAATGAGACAAATTAGGTATGGAATTTGAAATTTTAATATCAGGGTGAAAAAGTTAATTTTTCGCCCTGTTGTAGGGCGATAAAGTCACTTAATCACCCTACAACGGGAAATATTAGGTGTGCAAATTCCATCAAAATTAAATAAAATATTTATACAGAAATGTATTTATCACTAATACAAATGTAATTTAAACAATTGGTTAATTATCATTTTTTATTATTAATAATATGATCATCTATTGAAAATAAATACATATTTATGTCTGTTTAGTTTCACCGTGCGTGCATGTTTTTAAAATAAACTTATCTTCAACTGCGTAGTATACTCTCCTCTAAACCTTCGGTCATAGCACTGCAGATTACAGCAGTACACACAGAGATGCTTAGTAGAGGGTGATGGAGTTATATACCTACAGAAAGTATTCGAAGGGAAAGCAGTAAAATTAATAGGAATCAATATCGAACTTAATTCGGGATCAACCTATTCGTCCTTTTATTTTTCGCGAACACTCCCTTTAATGACTACCTCCAACCCATGAATGTTCTCAATCTGAAGGCAAAATTTTTTCAGCATATAGTTTTTAAACAGTGATTTGAAAAAGAAAGTCTCATCATTTAGGGGTAATCCTTCATGTTAATGTTTTGGAATTTTATAAGGAATACAAAAATCTATATTTTAACTATCGATGATTTCTAATTTTTTTGGAGAAAATCCTGGAACCAATCAAAACTTATAGCACACGAGCTATAATGTACAGCTAATTTAACATTATACCACGATAATTACTGTATAGCACGTTCATTATGAAATTCACGATGAAGTGAGTAATAATGATAAAGTACAATATAGTTTCATAAAAAATTTCCTTCCACTTTTTTGGAATAATTTTTACATACGTTCTACCTTTCGTCATAAACTCCATAAACATTGATTTACTACAGATTACATTTTCTAGCCTATTATTTCAAACTAGGTTTTTTTCCTCAGATCAATTTATTAAGGCCTAAAATCTTTAAGAATTATAATACATCACCAAAAGCTTATGGCAACTAACGCTGGTCACACCCAGTTCTGTCTGTGAAGCATTTATAAGAGGTAGATTTATTCTTATTTCGATTAAACACGTTTCGTCATTAATTTCCAAACGTTTTTAATCTTTTATAATTCTTAATAGTTTCAGAAAAGATTCCGTAAGGCTTCTAAAGTCTACAGTCTACAGTCTACAGTCTACAGTCTAAAGTCTACAGTCTACAGTCTACAGTCTACAGTCTACAGTCTACAGTCTACAGTCTACAGTCTACAGTCTACAGTCTACAGTCTACAGTCTACAGTCTACAGTCTACAGTCNAACAAAAAATTCCAAATTCAGGGGGGGGCGAATGTCCTCCGCCCCCCCCCTGTATCCGCCCCTGAACTTTTTATTAATAATGCACTTTGACTAACAAGCTTTAGAAATCCAAATTAAAATAGAAAGTCGTCTTTATTGTATTGACCTCTACGACGACGACTGTACATTTACAGGTTGCAAAGATGTTGGGATTGAAAAATTAGAATTTGTGCTGACTGTAAACTGAATAATTGTACTGTGGATTAAAACCGACGTTATCAAAAGTCGTCTTACTTTTTTTTCTTTATTTCATAAACAAGATATGAGATTTCAAGACCGACAAAATTATTGGCAATTCCGCACAATCTGTATCCAGCCAGGTGTCAGTTGTATTATGTACAGTGAAACCCATAAAGCTGTGGAATATGAACAGTACGGATGTTAGATAAATATTATTATTTTTAATAGTGTACAAAATCAGATTCATTTTACGTAATAAATTGATTTTCAAGCTACTGTGTAAAACTATTTGCTTAAATGCGTTGTAACAACAATGTTTGAATTCTATGGTTTTGAATTTTGCGTAGCTTTTTATACTTTAATTTATATAAGTTCGTAGATGTGATTAATTCAAAATACAAGATGTGATTAATTCAAGATACAAGATGTGATTCATTCAAGATACAAGATGTGATTAATTCAAAATACAAGATGTGATTAATTCAAGATACAAGATGTGATTAATTCAAGATACAAGATGTCCTGCTCTTCTCAGTGTAATATCAAGTTACTTGTCAAATAGATCTATGTCAGTAAAATTTAATGGAAGTACTTCTAAAACATACCACATGCCAGGAGGTGGTCCACAGGGTACACTCCTTGGAGTACTGGAGTACCTAGTTCAATGCAATGATAATGCAGATTGTGTTAGTACTGACTGCAGATTTAAATATGTTGACGATCTAACTATACTTGAACTTCTCTATTTATCCAACCTTTCAACTGGAATATCCTCATATAACCATAAGCTGCATGTTGCATCAGATATTGGTATTGATAATATTTTTATCCCTCCGACCAACCTTCACACTCAGATATGTATTAACACAATATCAGACTGGACTGAACAGAATAAAATGATGCTTAATTGTGAGAAATCCAACTATATGCTATTCACCAGATTTAAATCCAACTTTAGTACCAGACTCAAACTAAATAGCTCTAACCTCCGAAGAGTCGAATCAATGAAGTTACTTGGAGTCTGGATAACTGAAAACCTAGATTGGGAGACTAATACAAGAGAAATATGAAAAAAAGGTTATGCCCGATTATCCCTACTCTGTAAAGTCAAGTTTATTGGTATGAACCTGAAAGACCTGGTTAGAGTTTATATTGCGTATATACGTAGTATTCTTGAGTACTGTTGTGTAGTATGGAGTTCCTCTTTAACCGTAGCACAGGATGAGGCCCTAGAAAGGGTTCAGAAGGTGTCCCTAAAAGTTATTCTAGGCCCAGTATATGTTAATTATCAATCTGCTCTATCAGTTCTGGAACTAGAAACCTTAAGGATTAGGAAAGAGAAACTTTGTTTATCCTTTGCTAAAAAATGTCTAAAATCTCAAAGGCATTCTGCCCTTTTCCCGGTAGAACCAGTCACTCACAACCACCAGCTACGGAACGTTGAACTATTTACTGTCAACTATGCTAGAACGGAGAAATACAGAAAATCTGCTATTCCCTATATGCAGAGAAAATTAAACTTCCTATGATATAATCTTATCTCAATCTGTGATAAAACCCATCATATATTCAATTATATTTTTAAGAGAAGGTTAATCATATTATAATATGTATTATGATCTTGATTTATCTCTAATAAATCTTACTTACTACGTGATTAATTCAAGATACAAGATCTGATTAATTCAAGATACAAGATGTGATTAATTCAAGATACAAGATGTGATAAATTCAAGATACAAGATGTGATAAATTCAAGATACAAGATGTGATTAATTCAAGTTTTTGTTGTACTGAAAATTTTAAATATCACAATTTCCTTACCAATCATCATGGAAACATTACATAAATTATAGATTTTATTGATTCTAATAAATAAAAAATAATAATTTGATCTGACTGTTTGTATCCAATAAATGTCAAAACGGTTGAACCGATCGGACCCAACTTTTGTGTGGGACCTCACATGGCCCTAGGGAAGGCTTATGAATGAACAAAATTTAAAAAATTTGCCTCCATCAAAATTCGATTTTCATCAAATTTTTAAAATTTTAAAAATCAACGAAACTTTTTGTTTATATCCGCGAACTTTTTTGTTTTGTTTTACAATGTACACAAAGAGAACATGTTCACAATTAAAATAGAAGATGGGCGCGAAGCGCCCTAAAAGCCTATTATATATATATTAGTCACAAAGAATAACAAGAAACTAATTGCATGTTAAATGTACATATGTACAACTATACTGATGGTAAAAGCAAACAAAACAGAATTTTGTAAACATTTACGTTATAAAATGACACAAATTTGTATTGCAAGGGGTACTAATGTATCTTAATTGTGCAAATACGTATCCTCTTGGCTTCACGGAACTTATAGAATGTCGTCTTCTAAATATATTCGAGCCTGGTGTTTGTCCATGGTCTGGATTATGTGATATAGTTTACTCTTATAATTAAATTTATTTATTATTTATATAACAGAAGTTACTGGATGTCGTCTTACTAAAGATTAAACCAAATTTAAGAAGGACTTTAAGGTCCTAAAATAATATTGACTTTCTTTCAAACTACCCATAAGTGTGTCTAAAATAACAATCAAATTATGTTATATTACAGTACAGTGATAACCAGAAAACTCTGGAATAGGAAGACGACTTTATATGAATACTTTAGTGTTTAATGTTGTTCCAAAGCTTATAAGATACTAATTAAATTAATAATTAAGTGAATTTAGTCTGTTTACACTGCTCAATTGCTATGCCCCATATGCTCATTGGACTATTTAAAGTCAAAAATTGAGTCTAAAAGTTTACTTTCTATTTCAGAGTTTTCGGGTTATGACTGTATATCTTCTGAATATCCGGAGCTTGGTTGCTACTCTTAAGCTTATCAGGAGTCGTGAACACTGAGATTATGTACGGAATTTAAAGGAGTCAGGGAAGAAATGCAAATTATCATCATTGGAGTACAATTGGAGACCCTCTTTTAAAATATGGGGTCTCCAACGAGACGTCCGTTGGGGTCTCCAACGAGACGTCCGTTGGGATCTCCAATAGTACTCGAATAATCAAAAAAGTTAAAGTAAATCTGTTATTCCTTGTAAAATTGTGTTTTTTTATCCCAACATCTT